CGGTATTTGCTTTTATCTTCTTGTTTTGGTAAGATTTGAATTAAACACTCTTTATGAAAAATAGTTCCCATAACTCCTTGGGGTATTTTTCAGTTAATTAATGATTCAGTGGATTAGCACGTAGACTCTGAATTGAGTGCACCTGTGTCTGATTTGCGGCCCTATAATTTTTAAAGAAATTTTTGACAAACCATTTCTGCTCTCAACATTGACATATCTGATGATGAAAATAATAACGAAATTTGATGGGCTAGCCTACAGATAGTATGTAGCACATTGCCTGACACTCTGGGTTCATGGTGAGGAAGACTGTGAGAAGGAATTTGCCAATTTGTTTAAGTTTAATTATGATTTTTTGTTACTCTGCAATAGAATTATAATGAAATGATAAAATACAGCACCAAATAAATTTATTTGCCATGGATTCATTAACAAATGAAAAACAGGATTTGAATTTAAATGAGAATTCATTTAATTCAAATTCATAATTAGCACAGGAGCCAAAAATTAAACTTTGATTCTATATCTAAGCATGCAAAGAAGTATTCTCTCTCTTTCTCTCTCTCTTTTTCTCCCCCTCTCCCTTTCTCCCTTTTCTTATGTCTCTCTGTCTCTCTCTTGTCATATCACTGTCTGAGAAATTTCATTGTCCTTTACTCCAAATAAAAAGTAAATAAATCGTAAGGAAAAATGCTTGCAATGCACTAAATGAAGATGTACAGGGAAGAAGAAATGGAGAGATCAACACAGAGAGGGGTGTCTCTCTATCAATCTATCTATCAATAAAGCTACCTACCATTTACCTACATATTTTATCTGTGTATATGTATGTATACGTATCCATCTATCATCTATATATCTATATCTATATATAATCTTAAGAGATAGGTGGTGGGACGAGAATGAGTTTCTGCATGAGGAATCGGGTCAATCTACATACAAACACTTCTTGTCTCTCTTCTAGAAGCATTGGTAAGTGTGCCTTGTCTACCTTTTGCCATGATTCAACTCACTTTTTGCTTTGCTGTTTATGATAGAATTGCTTCATGGCCAGAAAATCCTATCGAATTTCTTCCTTCTTTGTCCAACTCACAAGGATCAGGTACTGTCAGTCCCAGGAAATATGTTTTGTAGCCTCCTTGAGAACAAAGGTGATCAAGCTTGAGTACTGCTGAACCTGACACAGAACTCTTGCGACGGTTTTGCTGTTGTATGAAATAGAATAACATGAGATATGAGTTCATTCTCTAGTCATTTCCTTTTTTTATGGTAATAGGGAATTGGATCTAGGGCCTCCCATGTCTTAGGCAAGCTATGTCTCCAGCCAATAGTTCACTCTCAACTTTTTATAGCTCTTAGCATTAATTCAATGTCTGGAGCCAAAGCAACTGTTTTCTCCCATGAAACAATATCCATGAAGACAATTGGCCAACAGATAAGAATGATGAGGTGGGAAAATATGAAGACACAGAATCTCCTTGACAAATCATGTGGTTCCTAATCTTTCTTGAGGCCACTCGACCCTAACTTGTTACGGCAATCATAACTACTTTGTATTAAGCCATTTTTAAGTGGATTCTCTGTTTCTTGAGGAAGGCATATTTCTCAATGAAACTTTTATATTAGGTGTGTTAGACAAATGGATAGCATATTTATGTAGGAAAAAATGATTATTATCACATCTGCTTCAGAAAAAACAAAGAAAACATGAAAATACATATATAAATCATATGACCTCAACTGATTGTAAAAGCAGAAACAATGTGTCAGCATAGTTCTAATTATTATTTAATACAGCTAATGTTACATTTTATCCTATGGTACAATACTTCAATGATTATCCTTTGAGGGTAACCTTGGGCATACTATGAACCACATAAAAACATGTGTGCTAGAGTTTTTTGAGTTGTACAAATAAAGGAGAATTCCTGTTTATGGATCCTGAGGACTTCTGTTTATAGCACTTTCCTGGATTTTAGTATTACCCCTTGGTCCATCACAAAGAAGGAAATAGAATACATTGCATACCTCCATGGGTCTTGGGAAAGACGTTGATAAATATCTTCTAAAATTTAAGAAATTATAAGATTTTACATATTACATTTGTGTGTGTGTGTGTGTGTGTGCTATGCTTGTGAGCATGTATATGGAGATACCAGGAAAATTGCAGGAGTCAGTACCTTGTCTCTCTAACATGTGAGTTACAGGGATCAAAATCAAGTCATCTGGCTTGGTGGCACATGACTTTACCAACTGAGCCTTTCTGCTAGCCCCAAAAAAATTGTCCTTGAAGAATAGTTTCTTTCAACTTACTTTTAAACTTATTTATACCAAGGTTTTGAAAAGAGATATTTTTCAGTGTGGCATTTTTTTCTTACTTAAACCAAAATGGAAAGTCAAATGAATGAAGGGTCACAAACAGAAATGTGGACTTGCAGAAAACCTTGTAGAAACAAAGCAAGAAGGGTTTGGGTTGGATATGAGAGTATGTAAAGTGGAAGGGGAGATGAAGCTTTTATCTCATTGAAAGAAAAATAACACAAGAAAACATGCATAAAAATACAAAATAAATGTCTGTTCCCAAAGCAGAATAACAAGAACCACCCATAGGAAAGACTGAGACCTCAGACATTGTCCTTTCTTCCTAAAACAAAACATATGGAAGTGTATTTCAGTGTGTGATTGTGATGTGGCAGTGGTGTTGGCAGTGGTGGTGGCAGTGGCGGTGGCGGTGGTGGTGGTGTGTGTGTACATGTTCTGTGTTGGTGGTATAAGACATTTTTGTGGAGAGACAGAGCAAAGGAAAGTATATGGGAAGGCTGTGTCCCAGGATCCTCTTTCTTCAATATGCCTGCACATAACAGGAACAGTGTACATATATAGCCTTTGAGCCTACTTGCAATTTAAGTGGTTCTGGACTTTCTGAGAGACTCTGTTATTGAGTAATATAAAATTCATGTTCATGTAAAGTGTAACATATGTAAGAATGTCCACTGAAGCATTACAGGTAAAAATTAAATCCTGGAACAATTAAAATTTCATTAGGAAGTGATTAGTTAGCCAAGTTACAATAAACATGTAAGACACCTTGTATCTGACTATTGACATATTAGGACAAAATTATGTATTTATATTAAATAATGCCTATGATGCATGAAGTCAACAATATTACAAGTTGAAAAACGTTTATAACATAAATTCATACATAGAGATGTGTTTAATGTGATGGTGTTTGTGTGTTTTTATGAGTGTGTGCTGAATACATACATGCAAGTCTACACGCATAGCAGTAGTAACTTTACATTTTAGTTTCAACATTTTCAGATAATTATTCCAGATATTATTGTGTACATTATTAAGGTAGTAGGTATGCATCAAGAAGTTTATGAACAAAAGTACAAAAAAGCAAATACTACTAATTCTGCTACCCAAAGGTACCCTTTATATCCTGGGTCTGCTGTGTGTATGTTTTGTTTTCACAAAGTTTAAATGTTGCACTGTTTCCACCCTGTAGACATTTGGATTTTGAAGACCTAACCTCATATCATCTGCAAATAATTATTTTGCCTTCTCCTCTCCAAGTTTCACTAAGCTAAGCTTAAGACCGTGTTTGATGGTAATGGTGTCTTCCTGGGGCTGTAGGTCAAGGGCCCACATTGTCTTTTGAGCCAGGATGGATGCTTTCCATTGTGTTGAGGAAGTGCCTTCATTTCAGTACATTAAAAACTTAGGCTACCTAATGATTCATGGATTTTGTTGGAGTCTTTTGGGGGAACCTAATGGAAAAGATTATATAGTATTTTTCTTTAACTTTACCATGTGACACATTTTATTACTGGATCTCATCTTGATTAATAGCTTAATTCTGGGAAGAAAGACCATTTTGATGCAGTCTGTTTAGGTTTTAGCCTCTCTGTGGTCATAAAGAATTGGATACACAGACTTCGTTGCTGTATTCTTTGTCAGCTTTTACTTTCAGAGTCATTATTGTGTTATAAAATGATGTTTGCAATCTTCCTTTACACTATCAATGTTTTTCGCTAATTTTTATAGTAGAAGCATTATCTGTGTCTTCAAACCTTGGACTAAGTCACGTGAAGGATCATCTGTCTCTGGAGATGCTTTTATGTTTGTGATAACTTTCTGACAGTTCTGAACATTTTGCTTTATTGCATTTCCATTCTAAACATCATTGAATTAGTTTGGGCTATTTGTGTTCTTTACTTTGGAAGGAGAAGGGTATGTGGGTTACTGGAAAATAAAGTTTACTGAAGAGAACCATAGCTAGGAAGAGAGAAGAGTTGAAAACCAAATTCTAAAGAAATAAGGAGATTAAAGGCCAGAATTTAGTTTTTACAAGAATAATGTGAATTGAAAATGTTGGCAACAGTCTTGTAGTTCACAATGCTGGTTTATTGGTAACAGTGAAAGCCAAGTATCAACCGATACAGTATTAGTACTCAGAATTTCATCCTTTTCTAAGTTGCTCATAGAAAGAGATTTTCCCCATTAGTATAGATAAAAATGGCAATTAAAGGGGATCTGTGATTGGTACGTAAAATGAATAAATATTTATTAATAATAAAACAAGAAAATATCCCTAAAAAAGACTAATGATGTTAACATTTCCAGAAATTAAATCCAGCATGATGCAGAATTAGTTGTTTTTAGGAATAATTTTCCTTGTCTTTCAAACAATGAGAAACCAGTGATATAAGAGAGGGATATGAAAAAGCAATAGTTTAGAAGTTGCAAAGTTTTAGAAATGTTAATCTCTGGTCCTTGTTCAACTAGAAAATGTGATGTGCAAAAATGAAAATACTGTGTTGAAATCCATTTTTAACAATGAACATACAATAAAATGTTTTAATACACATAAACAGTATATGTTATTGATGTGACTTGTTTCTTATCCTCTGTCTTATAATGAGTTCATTTTATATATCATGATATTTGAAAATATTAGTTTTAATAATATGTCATGAATGTGTGTTAAAATTGTTTTAAACACTGCATTTATTAAATTTTATTTTTGCTTCAACATTATACCGCTCTTCTAATAACAAAATTTGTGTACATCTACTTGGAGTCCTTAAATATCAAATTTATAGAAGTAAAGCCATTTAACAAAATTATAAGTTCCAGTGCTTTATATATAAAGCAAAGTTACTTTGTTAATATGTTTAAATTGCCTAAGTCTATTCTTGAAGTTGCCTATGTGTTTGTGTACTTTATAGGCTCAAAGACAGTAGCTCAAAGAAATTAGCACCCATGTATATGGAAATGAGAGTGGTGGTTACATATAACACAAAGAATCCAACTACAATATGACCCAGCTACACCACTCCTGGGCATATCAATGAAGTAATCTAATAAGAATATCACAGAGACACTGTACAGCCATGTTCATAACCATGTGGAATTGTGGAACAAGCCTAGATGGCCATCAACAAATAAACTGATACAGAAAATATGTGCATACAGAATATTCATTCACCAAGTCTATAATTACAGGGTAGTAATTTACAGTATAGATGGAACTGCAGATCCCTAGGTTAAGAAAAATAAGGCAACTTTCTAATGCTATGATGAATGCCATGACCAAAACATGGAGAGGAAAGGGTTTATTTCAGCTTGGATTTCCAAATCATAATCCATCACCTGGAGAAGTCAGGGCATGAATTAATGCAGAAAGCATAGAGGAACACTACTTACTAGCTGGCTCTCTGCTTGCTCAGCTAGATTTCTTCTGCATCTGCCTAGGAATGGTGTCACCCACAGTGGGCTGGGCCCTCCTATGCTGATCTTCAATCAAGACAATCTCTCACAAACAAGGCCACAAATAATTTGATCTAGACAATCCCTCATTGAACTCTCCTCATCCCAAGTGACTCTATGTTGTATTAAGTTGACAATAAAAACTAACCTAGACAAGTAGGTTTGGATTTTACAATTTTACTGGGCACACTCTTCACATGTCAGGCAAATGTTTTGACAACCTGAGGAAACAACCATGATGATTCATACTTCATGGTTGAAGAAGCCCGAAGTACTAAACGATGGCCAAGGCTGCTCAGTAAGAGTCTGAAAAAAGAAAGAAAGAAAGAAAAGTATGGCAGAGTCAGAAGGACAAATGTAACACCTTCTCTAATAATTAAAATCCAGATTTCTTGAAACAAATATGATTTAAACTTATTAATATCAAATAAAATTTGTGTTCATTCTATAATATATACCCACTTATCTCTTTAAGGGTCTTATTTTCTTTAATACTAACACTTTTTTTTAAAAATTCTAACTGGCTTCCAGAGGCAACTTCAAACAACTCACCAGCCAATTCAGTAAAACGAGTCTGTATTACGTATGAGCTCAATCATTGTAATCAAACATAAAGTCACAATTGCCTATTGTGATTGACAGCACAGGACAGGAGGAAATGGAGACAACACGCAGAAGGCTCTCTGTATCACAGTTCATGCCCTTTGTCACTCGGCTGAGCTTGCTTGGTCTTCATTCTGTGCCATGAGTGGGAATTTTTCATAATGGACTGGTAAGTGAGCTGAAGCTTGGAAGAAGGGAATGAAGACTATTATCAATGGAGGGACAGCTTCATGCTCAAGTCAGAAGGCCTTTAGAAGTGCCAATGGTTCATCCTTCCTTACCAGAGGACCAGTGAGGAGAGGGAGTGTCGCCCTAGTAACAGTGAATGAGAACGACGCTTCTTATTCCAAATCACTTCAAAGATGAAAGTCACTCTAGAAACCCAGAGTCAGTTACAAGGCGCTGACCTCAAACTGCCACCTGGGGCAAGAGAAACAGGAAAGCTTAAGTACACACCCTCCAAGTTCCCCAGGGGTGTTCTTTATGCCCAAGGCATTTCGGGTGCAAACACTCCCAAAGAGCCCGTGCTGTTCTCAAAATTGCCTAGGCCTTTTCAGGGCACCGAGAAAAATACAACCGTACATAACAGATCTATTCCTCAGGTGATTTGAGTACAGTGTATTTTTAAAAATATTGTCTTTATCTCTCATGAAGAGGAGATACTATTTTTAAGACATAAAATAATCCTATATTTTACATAGAAGTTTTGTATAAAATAGTATTTGAGAGCTGAGAGTGTAACTCTCAGGAGAGTGCTTGCTTCAAATTCATGAGGCCCGAATTTCAGATTTCAGTCCCCTCTACTACCAAAGATCCATATGGTTTTGGATAAAAGCATGACCATTATTAAGCAATCATTATATATATATATAATATTTCTCTGTGTAACAGCTCTGGCTGTTCTCCTGGAACTCAATTTTTAGACCAGGCTGGCTTGGAACTAACTCAGATCTGACTATCTTTGCCTCCCAAGGACTGGAGTATGCCACCATGCCAGGCTTTAGATATATTTTTGGTGATTAGCAAAACAATATTTTAGCTAATTGGGAGATAAAACTTTTGTGGTTTTCTTTTCTTTTTTTAAAGTAGAACTAAACAGTACATTTAATTACCCAGTCAACTGACATATTAATATCATCACAGATTTTACAGTCTGCTCCAGGTCCTTATTCACTGTGAGCTGTTAGTTGTCTGTGGAAAAGAACTCAGCTGATGGCATAAATCACGCAGGCTCACATACTTCTACATAAATGCTAGCATTTTCTTCAAGGTGCCTCTAGTAGATGGCTATGTGTACCAAAATGAATTCAGAGTTCAAAGTGATTTCTTGATTTGCAGCTTCAGTGGTGAGGTCAGATGTCCAAGTTCCAATTACAAGTCACAACCATACTTGTGTGTGTGCGCATGCATGGGCATGTGTGTGAGTGTGCATGTGTGTGTGATACCCTCTAAAGCAACAGAGGGTGTCAGATCCCCAGGACTGGAATTAGAGACAGTGGTGAACCACCGTGTATACTGTGAATTTAGTCTGGGTCCTCTGCAAGATCAGTAAGTACTCTTAACCACTTAGCTACCTTTGTAGCTAGAGTTTTCCTGCCTGGCCCACAGTCAGGACAAATCTCTCTCACCTGCCAGTCCCACAGCCGCTCAGACCCGACCAAGTAAACACAGAGACTTATATTGCTTACAAATTGTATGGCCATGGCAGGCTTCTTGCTAACTGTTCTTACAGCTTAAATTAACCCATTTCCATTAATCTATACCTTGCCACATGGCTCGTGGCTTACCGGCATCTTCACATGCTGTTTGTCATCGTGGCGGCTGGCAGTGTCTCTCTGACTCAGCCTTCCACTTCCCAGCTTTATTCTCCTCCTTGTCCCACCTATACTTCCTGCCTGGCCACTGGCCAATCAGTGATTTATTTATTGACCAATCAGGGCAACGCATTTGCCATACAGAACATCCCACAGCATACCTTGTCAGTCTTAATTCTTTTTAAAAGACAAATGACATCAGAAATTTCAAATCTTGTAGCCTTTGCCTTAATGTCAATTACAAAGATGTTGTTTCATTTTTCCTAGATAAGGTATGTAATAAATGTGAAAAAAGTCAAATGAAATTTTCTTTCTTTGTTTAATTTTCTAAGTAAATTTATGGATGGACACACACACACATACACATACACACTTTGCAAATTTGTTCTCTATGATCTCCTTCCTCTTCCTAAATAGTCTGATTAATTCGAATGTTTGTTTATCTGGCGGTGTATATGTTACAGCGTTGAGACAGTGTTGAGGATAGAACTCAAAGTCCATTATTAGGGAAAATTTTCTCTTGAAGTAGAATTTTTTGATATTTAGATACCAAAAATATATTTTTCATTGCTTCCCGTGTGTGTGTGTGTGTGTGTGTGTGTGTGTGTGTGTGTGTGTGTGTGTGTGTTGTGCTTGTAAATAAATTCTGAAGTTTTGGACACATGCATTCTTGCACAGACTTACACATACATACACACACACACACACACACACACACACACACACACACACATGCAAACAGAGAGAGAGAGAAAGAGAGAGAGAGAGAGAGAGAGAGAGAGAGAGAGAGAGAATATTAAGAATATATCAGTAATAGTTTGCTGACAAGTTAAAAGTTTATCAAGATTGTTTTTCCTGTTTATTTGTTGAGGAGCAAGTGGTCGTATAACCAACCACGGCAGCAATTTTAACAATCGACAGTAACTATATTTAAACAGTGTGGTTCCTTCTTTCTATTTCTAAACATCCCTGATAGGTGACTGTAAATTCATTGATTTGGTTACCAACCCTGGGGATTTACTTATTTTTATCTAGAAATGCATTGTAAGACTTTTCTTAAGAACCAATTCCAGCATGCGTTTTTCTCCACAGTGTTACCTCCTAACAGCCACTCACAATCAGTGATATCAACTGCAGCTTTGCACTGACAGCTGAATTGAAAATAGAGGATATACAAGCTGCCAGATTCCTAGACATGGACTATATGTTTGTAAACGTAACTCAAGTCACAATCTCACAACGGTAAGATAATGAAAACACATGGCCAAGAGGAAAGAACACACAGAAAATTCATTTTTAATTTGGGTTTAAATATTAATTAGTTTGTTATGGTATTTTTCTCTAGAGTAGCAATACAGTACAATATTCAGAAATTGCCTGTTTTAACTAGTGTCCTAATATTGGATTTTAGATATATTACTTAAATTTTAGGGCCTTGTTTTCCTCATTTTTGAAAAAAAAATGAACAATGTATATATTTTTTGTAAGAAATAAGGCAATTAACTATAAGTAGTATCTTATACACATAGCAGTTATTTATATTATCTAAAAGTTTTAACTATTTAGATAATAGTTTCATAATACATAGTAATTATTTTCCAAAAATAGTTGGTTCTTTATAATCTTATGAATGTTGAGTCAAGAATTTTGTCTAGCTGTAACCACATACACACAATGTAATTTTGCAAGTACCCACCAGTCTGTGAAAAGATTTATCAGCAAATTTTATTTAATATGGGTTAATTTTATTAGGAATGTAGTGAAATTATATGGTTCAGAGAATGGCTCTAAGTCACCATAACTGACACATTGCTGACTGTTTTATAATGTAGATTTCTTCAGACTTCTCTAACTATAGGATTCCCCTAGATGAGGAGGTAGGTAGGTTTCATGGAAATACTCTGCTTACGACCACTTTAGGTTTGTTGAATAAAAATTTTGAGATGCTTAGCCTAGTATTCTGTGTTACTTTATAAGAAATATTTTTTTTTCTTTGAATGTTGTATGTTTAGGGAATCTGGGGAAAATTGAAGGGAGAAGTAAAATACAATATACTTATAGACATCAGTTAATGTGGCCATGAAAATAATTTAATGATTTATTTTAAAGCCTATAAAATAGGTGCTACAAATAGCAGAAAGGAAGTATATCTATTTTGGAAATGAGATGATCTTGTATCTAAAGGACTCCTTGGACCTAATCAGAAAACTCTTAGATTTGATGAGTACTCTCAAGCAAAGTGACAGTGCCCAATTTCAACATTCAAAAAGTCAATTGCTGTCTTGTATTACAAACACAAACCAGCCAAAAAGAAATTAAGAAAAGTGTTTTATTTGCAACAGCTTCAGGAATACACTTCAGCAAGAAGATAAAAGACCTACACAATGGAAAATTTAAGATACCTAGAAAAATTCAAAGATAACACTAGAACATATAAAGACCTCCCCAGCTCATGGATAGACAGAAGCAATACTGTGAAAACAGCTATTGTACCAAAAGGAATCTAGATTCATTACAGTCCTCCTCAGAATTCCAATGGCATTCTTTGTAGAACTGGAAAGACAATCCTGAAGTTCATATGGAAAAACAGAAGACCATGAGGAGCCAGAACAATTTTTTGTTATTATCATTTTATTTATTTTTACATCCCTATTGCAGTTTCCCCTCCCTCCTCTCCTCCCAGTCACTCCCACCACCCCCCTTGGCCCCCTCCATATACCCCTCCTTCATTCTTTATTCAGAAAAGGGCAGGCCTCCCATGCATATCAACCAAATATGGCATATCAAGTTGCAGTAAGATTAGGCACCTCCATTCCCATTAGACTGGACAAGGCAACCCGATAAGAGGAATAGGGTCCCAAATGCTGACAAAAAAATCAGAGACAGTCC